AAGCAGTCCTCCTGCCTCGGCCTCCCAGAGTGCTGGGATCACATGTGTGAGCCACCATGTCCAGCCTATTTTTAGTTTTTTGAGGAACCTCCATACTCCGCATGGTGACTGTACTAATTCACATTCCCAACAGTATATGAGTGTTCCCCTTTCTCCACATCCTCTTCAGCATTCGTTATTGCCTGTCTTTCAGATAAAAGTCATTTTAACTGGGGTGAGCTGATATCTCATTCTAGTTTTGATTTGCATTTCTCTGATGACTAATGATGTTGAGCAATTTTTCATATACCTGTCGGCCATTTGTATGTCTTCTTTTGAGAAATGTCTGTTCTGATAGTTTGCCCATTTTAAAATCATATTACTTAATTTTTTCCTGTTGAGTTATTTGAGCTCCTTATATAATCTAGTTATTAGTCCCTTGTCAGATGGGTAGTTTGCAAACATTTTCTCCCATTCTGTGGGTTGTCTCTTCTCTTTGTTGATTGTTTCATTTGTTACGCAGAAGCTTTTTAGCTTGATTTGATCCCATTTGGCCATTTTTACTTTGGTTTCCTGTGCTTCTGAGGTATTACTCAAGAAATCACGCTGGGCACAGTGGCTCACGCCTATAATCCTAGCACTCAGGGAGGCCGAAGTGGGAGGATTGCTTGAGGTCAGGAGTTTGAGACCAACCTCAGTAAGAGTGAGACCCCTGTCTCTACTAAAAAAAAAAAAATAGAAAGAAATTAGCTGGGCAACTAAAAAAAATAGGGTGAAAAAAAGAAAAAAAGAAAGAAATCATTGCCCGGACTGATGTCTTGGAGAGTTTCTCCAATGTTTTTTTTTAATGGTTTCATTTTCAAGTCTTAGATTTAAGTCTTTAACCCATTTTGATGTGATTTTTGTGTATGGTGAGAGATAGGGGTCTAGTTTCATTCTTCCAGGTATGAATCTCCAGTTTTCCCAGCAACATTTATTGAAGAGACAACAATTTTATTATGACAGGAAGTTTTCCATCTTTTGTTCATTAGGAAGCTTTTCTTTAGTTTTCTCTCTTCTCAGTGAATCCAGTAAATTAAATGGCCTGAGATAACAGACCAATTTTTGAGTGTCTATATGAGTTTTGCTTCTTATCTAGGGATTTGGAGCTAGCTCCTCACTTCCCTTCCACCCTTTTCAGTTGAATGGCTGTATTATGGACTTTAGCCTTAGCCCATTAAATAGGACTAAGGTTTAACGTTAGGCTATCTGAGTTCCAAAGTAGTTCTGCCATCCACTCCATGTGGTACCTTGGGTGAACGGTTTAACCTCAGGTTTCTTAACTATAAAGTAAAAGGACTAATATTACTTACTCAATGGAAATATTTTGAAATTCATATTATTTTGGAAGAGTGCCTCATTCATGGAAAATCTCAGTGTTAGTTGGTTAAATTTTAATGGGCAATAGACAAAGCTCATCTTTCACAATGCTACAAAATGTCTCTAAAAGTTAAGAGTTTTTTTAGAAGTAAGAGTTAGTAAAAATAAAATAAGCATTTAGTAGTCATGGTACTGCAGTTTCCTTAAATCTCAGCAGTCTTGAACAGATGATGGCCTGAGTTACCATCTTCTGCATGTCAGCTCATTCCTAGTTGCTCGCTGTAGGTCACAGTTCATATTTACCTCACTGTGGCATTCTCCAAGGTTTAGAGCAAGTAGAAAACTTGGCTTCTATCTCTCCCTGAAGTTTCTCTCAAAAATATGCTAGGTGTATGCCAAGAGCTATCTTCCACCCTTCTTTGCTCCCTTCGTCTGTCCTTCCTTCCTTCCTTCCAACATTGATTAAGCACCTGTCAAGTATAAGGCAACCTGCCATGGTTACATACAACAGCAAAAACCATGGGTAGCCCAGAGACAAATCCTCACATTCTTTAGAACAATCTCCCAGGGAGATATCCACAGACACAGGCTGAGCTCCAGTCCAGAAAGTGGCCAAGGCAGCAGCCAATTCACTGAGCAGATCCCACACTGAGTTTATTAAAGGCTTCCAGGGTTCTTGCAATGTTTTTTAACTTTTATTTAAATTGTGAAAGAATCCATACACATATTTCATTTCATTTCATTTTAGAGATGGGGTCTCACTCTGTCACATAGGCTAGAATGCAGTGGAGCTATGATAGCTCACTGCAGCCTGGAACTCCTAGGCTCAAGAGATCCTCCCATCTCAGCCTTCCTAGTAGCTGGGACCACAGGCATGAGCTGCCACGCCTGGCTAATTTTTTAAATTCAAGGACTTCTATTTCTAGGATATTCTTCAACATACCCCTTGTTTGAAAGCTGACAATACTGAAATGATAACAGCAGAAGGAGGAAAGCATTCAAGTTTTTTTCCTTTTCTGTTGGTTTGAACTTCATGATACTACACATTTCTGAAATGACAGTGAACGAGAATATCTTAAATCTGCATGTGACTCTTTCGTTTAGCTTGGGGTAGAGAATAACAGAGGATGTGACTTTTACTGATTTTTTTTTTGTGGTATTTTTACCTTTTAGTTCTCAAGAATTGTACAAATCTCAAGTATCTTGGAGTGTGTTTTTATCTATTACTGGTGTTTCCCCTCTAAGATCTCTCTTCTTGGGGACATCAAAGGATCATTAGACATTTCCATTCTTTCTGGGTCACAGGCACTGTGGGGCTGTTTGGTTATGGATTGTCCTTTCCTGATCCCTTGGGTCCGTGGAGCACACACACTTAGCAACCAGCCCAGTAATGCCCTAATGGTTTGAGTCTAGACTGACTTTAGACAGGCTTCTAGGGTCTCATGAGTAGTTCTTTGCAGTTTCAATCAGGTCGGCTCAAAGGCCTCCCCAGGCTGGTGGGCTAGCTGTGGGCTACCTGAAAGTCTTCAAACACACTCTGGGAGAGCCCTCCTCCCTGGGACTTCCTTTTATAGAAGGGATGAAAATGGGCTAGGAAAATTACTCCTAGAAAATGAACTTTGTAAGTACCTGAGAATTTTTTTTTCCCTCATTTACTCTTCCTTATAACTCTTACAGGGGGTAATGTCCTATTGATGCGGAATCAGGTTCAGAAAGGTTTAAGTAACTTGCCTCTGATGAGAGTAAGTAGAGCCTGCTTGTCATGGTTATGTTTGTATCTCTCCCCAACCTGGGGTCCATTCTCTGCCTTCTCTACCCAGTCTCTGTCCCAGACTAGGTTCCAGGATCCTTTGCCCTCTGGATTCCAATTGAGTTTGGCAAATGGGAGACACAGGAGAGCAGAGGGAGGGCGGGAGGAGAGAGAGGTCAGGGTATTTCTTCCCACTGCTCTCTCCTTGATGTTAGTCCTTATCTGTTATACCTCCTGTTTTGTGGCCCGTCTCCAGGACTCTAGGTTTCTTCCTTTACTCCTGCAAATTTAGGGGTGGTAACATCTTCCCAGTATTAGTAGTCCTTGTGTTGAGTCCCTAAATTCTGTCCACACCGCTGTACCTTATCTGTTCACTTCAAGGCTTTTCAGTTAAAATCTTTGCATGTGGCATCTGCTTCATCCTGGAAAGGACCTTGACTGATCCAGTCATAGCAAATTGTACTGCCTTCACCTGGAAAATCTGAGAACCTTTCCAAACAGAACTAGCCACCTAGAAAGTGTCTGCATCCACCTTCAACACCCAAAATTGCCAAAAAAAAAAAAAAAAAAATCAGGACTTGAGTCATGATTTGGTAGCCTGAGAACTCCTCTAGGGCAGGAACACTACCCTGAGCATCCTTGGACACCCTACTTAGCCCAGCCCTTGGCATATAGTAGGTGCTTGATAAATGTTTCCTACAGAAGCAGTACCCTTGGGCCCCAAGAGTCTCCAGCCTGAGCTCCCTCCCTCCTCCTCTCCTCTGCCACACCACCTGCTGAACTGTTGGCACCTGTAGGATCTGGATCACCATGCCGGCCAGCCGGTTTTTTTCTTATTGTGCTCCATAGAAGGAAGTTCGTTCACGTGATTTTTTGCAGTACCCAGAAAGGGTGGGTACAGCGTGTCCTGTGGTGAGAAGCTTGCAGGTTTTAGTCTCACCCCCACATTGCTGCTATTCCTATTTGAGAATTGTCCCCCCTCACGCTCCCACCTCACAAAAAGCCTTGAAACATTTTATTTATGTGGGATTACAGTCTATGCAATAATGAGCCTTGAGGAGGTGGCCATGAATAGCCCCTGAGAGTGTTATACACTTGCGACCTTTTCCAAAAGGCTGCAGAGGAATTATTTAGCCGAGACAGCCACGAATCACGTGCCTTCTTCAGCCCCATTTACATCTGGGTAGGCCTGCCTTTTGAATTTTCTCGGTGGGAAGCACTTTGAACCATAAAGGCACACTAAAAGGCAATTGCTATGGAGACTGCGCCTCCGCTGTGCATTTGTCTGAGTTCTACTCCTGGGTGCTTGAGCATCCACTGGGTGTCCTCTGCGCGCTGCTCTGGGGTGGGGACCTGGGCGCCACCGTGCTGGGAGGCAGCCCACTTGGGACCGGAACGCTAGCCCAGGATTGAAAGCAGGAGACGGCCGCCCAAGGTAGGGGCACCGCCGGGGTGTATGTGGTGGGAGTGGGATGTGGTGGGAGGGGAATGGCGGGGGTGGGGGATAGGTTCTCAGAGTGTGCAGCACCCCCTCCCTGGCCTGTGCGGGGACCACGTGCAAGAGCAGCGCGTGGGGGCCCCTGGCGCGCAGCCGCGGTGGGTGACGGCGCAGCGTCCCGGGGGCCCTGTGTACGGGGCGTGTGTGTGTGTGTGTGTGTGTGAGTGTCTGGGTGGGTGGAGGGGCCCCGAGCCGCCCTGCTCACTTCGTGAGTGTGTGAGTGTGTGTGTGGCCTCGGCCCCGCGCCTGCCGAGCGGTGCCTGCGGCCGTGCGAGCGCGCGCGCGCCCGTGCGGGGTGTGTGTGTGAGTGTGTGACAGTGTGTGTCAGGTGACTTGGGTCACGCAGTCTCTCTTTCTCCCTCCTCCGGGAGGAACTGCCGCGCTCCGGCTGACTCCTCCGCCAGCAGGCGGGGCGGAGGAGGGGGCTTCGGGCGCGGTGGGAACCGCGGGACCCGGACCTGGGCGCCGCCCGCCGCGGGGAACGCGCGGCCCCCGCTTCCGCCGGCTCCCGCGAAGCTTTGGACAAAACCGCAATTCAGAAATAGGTTGCAGGCGGCCGGCGAGGAGACTTGGCCCTCACCCGGGACCCCCATCGCCCCCGGGACGGCCAGCTGGTGGGCGTGATGAGCCAGGTGCTGGGGAAGCCGCAGCCTCAGGACGAGGACGACGAGGAGGAGGAGGAGGAGGATGAGCTGGTGGGGCTAGCGGACTACGGGGACGGCCCCGACTCCTCGGACGCCGATCCGGACAGCGGGACGGAGGAGGGAGGTGAGCGTCCCGCCCCGCATGTCCTCAGCTCGCGCCCCTTGCCTTCCCTCGGTATCTTCCCGCCCCCCGGCCCAGCCGGGCGCGCGGGCCGCCGACTTGGAGGGGATCCAGGGGAGCGGAGTTGAGGGATGGGGGTGGGGAAGGGTGCCAGAGGAGGGACCTCGAGCTGCAAAATTGGGGAGCCCGGTGCTGGTGGCGGAGGGGCGACCAGGATCGGTGGGGAGACCAGGATCGGTGGGGAAGGGAGAAAAAAGGGAGCGTCTGGGAAGAAGGAACGCGCTCTCCTGGCCCCTTTCAGAGCCAGTGCCTCCCCATCCCTGATTCCGAGCTCTTTGCGGGATCTGGGGGTTGAAGAGGGGAGGGGACCGCGGGCGCGCTTTAGGACCTCTCCTTGAACGCTGCTGTTGAAGCCAGGGTCAGATGTCGTGGCTAAAAAAAGGCAGCCGGCAGCAGCGTGACTGGTAGGGTAGTCGGCAGCTGCGGGTGTCAGTCTTGCCCCGCGTTGCCTCGGGAGGGGTCCTGGGGTTGCCCAGGTCTGCAGTGAGGGGATGCACGCCTAGGTGATACGGGAGTCGCCTAGTGGACGCAGGTTTCTCGGGATCCGGGCAAATACTGTTGTTAGGACACCTTATCTGCGCTCAGTGTCACCACCTGGACTGGCAGTGCTTGCCCAGGAGTGACGCGGGGCGGGGGAATTCGTTGCTACTAAAGCAAACTCTTCTTGGTGTTCAAGTAGCGGATTTTAGCAATCGTTCAGCCTGGGGTTGGGGGAGTTTCCTGCATTTTATTCTTAAAGCCTAAGAAAGTTGAGAGGGTTTCAGGATTCCAGAAAGGTTAATCTTTTCTGTGTTCTTCAAAAGCGCAAGCAAAAGATCCTTTATTGTAAGGTCACTTGAAAAGGTCAATAGAATACGGCTGTTAAACATAACATTATTCCTGGTGAAGCTGTATGCATCCTAGAGGAGTAAACTTCTTTAATGTTTCACACTGAAGAAATTGTGTGAGGAGAAAAAAGTGCCTTTGTGACTGTGGATTTTTTTTTTTTTTTTTTTTTGAGACAGAGTCTCACTCTTTTGCCCTGGCTAGAGTGAGTGCCGTGGCGTCAGCCTAGCTCACAGCAACCTCAGACTCCTGGGCTCAAGTGATCCTACTGCCTCAGCCTCCCGAGTAGCTGGGACTACAGGCGTGTGCCACCATGCCCGGCTAATTTTTTCTATATATTTTTAGTTGTCCGATTAGTTTCTTTCTATTTTTAGTAGAGAGGGGGTCTCGCTCTTGCTCAGGCTGGTTTCGAACTCCTGAGCTCAAACAATCCGCCCGCTTCAGCCTTCCAGAGTGCTAGGATTACAGGCGTGAGCCACCGCGCCCGGCCCGTGATTGTGGATTTTTAAGAACTTTTATTGAGAATTCACTGAACTTATTTTAAATTCCCTATACAGAGCCTTTCTCAGGAGGACAGTTTACATTATTCTACATCCGGCAGGCACTACTTTGAGTGAATCAGAAAAAGAATAAAGTTAACTGTGCCTTGCGCCTGGTAGATGAGAAAGCAGCTCTCCAAGTCACCCTTTTTTCATAGTGTCTTCTCTCCTGGGAGGATTTGTGCTAATTCTCCATTTGCTTAAACTGATGTGTGCACCTGTGCACTTCTCTCTTCTGCACTCCCGGTAATTGGTCCCACAGTTGAGCACCCGGCCACGTTTTTGTAGATAAAGGCTTTCAGCCCTATACTGGAGTCTCAAGGGCTACCCTCCGTAATTAAATTGTTCGGTCGCTTCATTATTATTCAAATTGCATTTGTTAGCTCCTCCCAGATTCTTTGGCGACTCGGGAGAGATGCAGAATGGGGATGTATTTGCAAGATATTTGGAATATAGGCACACAATGGAGTGCGTTTGGGATACTCTTTTTAAAAAAAGGAAAAAGGGACCATATCCAGGGGGAAAGCCCTGTAATTTGATATTGCCTTGGGGGCCAAAGAGGGTCCAAGAAAAGCACAGGAACTGTTTGTTTATTCTGTAGTTCTTTAAGGGGGAAGTTTTAAAATTTGATTTGGGCACTTGAAGTGAAATTAAAGCCCTGCCTAGAGGGTGGGATTCCCTGAACAAAGGGCTTCCCCAGAGCCCAGACTTGGAGGCTCTCTTCTGCTGCTAACCTAAAGGCAAACCTGCCTGTAACTGGTGCTCTTGATGACTTCAGTAATAAAATCCTCCTGCCATGAGTTCTTGGGATCAGCCTGGAATCTTGCTATAAAAGGATTGAGTTTGTGTATTTATGTGGTGAGAAGAGCAGTGCATTAATGTTTGCTCTGGCAAACTTTACTTAAGCCTGCTCTCTCTCTGCCTGGGCCTGCTGTGAGGGGGGTCTGCGGCTCAGACGTGCTCCTTTATCTTTTGGGCTCTGTTCTTTGCAGGTTTCCCTGGCTTTGATTTTGGGGTTTTAGGCCTTGATGCAGAATCTTTATCAGAACATTTGCTTTCTACAGTAGCAGATAGGCTCCTCAGTCAGCAGTTTCAGCAAGCACTGTCCCTGAAGACTGTCAGGCCAACTGATATGTTCCCAGGGAGTCATTGGGAGGGGGAGGTTGGAGTTTTGTGACTTCCTTTCCTGTGCCCTTCAGAAGGCTGATTGCTGTGTTGAATTATAATCCTGTTTTATTTTTGAGAAAATTTACATTTACCAACTCTCAAACTTAAGAAATGGAATGTGAAAAAAAAAGACTTGTTTATTCTGAGAGATGATGGATATGGCGCACTTTGAACCATGAGCAAAGCATTTCTCTAATGAACCTCCTCCCCCTTCCCCTTCCTAATGGACTTGGTTTAGTGCCTACAATTTCTGGATACCTGCGGCTTTTTCCATGAGGTTCAGAAATCTACCCGACAAGGTGGGATCCTGGGGGTGGGATGAAGGTGGATGCGCAGTGTGACTTTCATTTCTCTCAGTCTAGAAGACTTATAAAGGACCCTCGGATCTCATTTTCAAACCAAATACCTTGTAAGTTTTGCCACATCGTGCTAAGTGTGAAAACAATAGTGCAGCCAAGGTGAGACTTAAATTGCACTTCTCCTCTGGCTTCCACTCCATATTTTATTCATGAATGGCAGGAGTGTTCTCAGGCACTTTAGTTCTGTTGGGACAGATTTGGGCACCTTTCAACCCTCTTTTCTTGGTAGTTATTTGCAGATAAGGTGAATCTCACCTTCAACCCCCACTTTCTAGATAAAACCCCAGGGAGGAGGCAATGACTAAACCATTAAAAACAATTGCACCAGGCCAGGTGCAGTGGCTCGCACCTGTAATCCTAGCACTCTGGGAGGCCAAGGTGGGTGGGTCATTTGAGCTCAGGAGTCCCAGACCAACCAGTGCAAGAGGGAGACCCCCGTCTCTACTAAAAATAGAAAGAAAATTAGCTGGACAACTAAAAAATATGTAGAAAAAATTAGCCGGGCATGGTGGCTCATACCTGTAGTGCCAGCTACTCAGGAGGCTGAGGCAGGAGGATTGCTTGAGCCCAGGAGTTTGAGCTTGCTGTGAGCTAGACTGACGTCGTGGCACTCTAGTGTGGGCAACAGAGTGAGACTCTTTTCAAAAAAAAACAAAAAACAAAAAAAAGCAAAACAATTGCACCAAAAATAATGATTGTTTTCAGACACATGGACTTTAAATCTTTTAGTAAATTACTGTGCTTTAAGAACGGTAATGATAAGGAAAGCAATTAAAAGATCATGTTTAATCAGAAAATGAAATTGTTTTTTCCCCAAAGTGCCTCTCAATTTTTAGGGGAAACTTGGCTAACACAGTTCACCTACAGTCCACCCGAGTTATGTCTTTGTTTTCACAGCAGCTGTGTACATCCTTAGGGTCTGAGGAAGTAAGTTTAGGTGGTTACTGGAGGCATGAAAGATCCAGGTTCAGCAGGTGATACTTCCTTGAAAGGTGTAGATGGGGTGAATCTAACAATTCACATCTAGTAATCAGTGTCAGCTTTTTAAAAAACTTCACCTTTTCATTGTTCCTTGAGAATAAGATAATTATTCTCCTGATACTGAAACCAGAGCTGAGAGGTACCAGAGGAGTTTTCTGCGGCCATTTCACGAGCTAGAAGTTAGCAGGTTTAGAAGAGGGTCAAGTGTGCGGAGATGTAAGCCCCTTTCCTTGTAATTCTGCCTTGTCCAAAAAGAGATAGGTTGACTGCAGCCCTGGCCACAGCTAATTTCTTGGATTTCCTTCTGGTCCTGGAATACAGAGATACAGAAGAGTTGGAATAAATGGAACTACAGAGTAGTTAAAAATGACGCAGCTAAAGTCGTGCCATAGGCAAGTGCTTTTTCGAATACCTGTATTTAGAGAGCATACTTTTATATCAGACGTTTTATAAACGTGTTTCATTGATTCGGGGTATCATAGAATCTTGATTCTCTACTTTTATTAGTAATCTATTTTAATAGTATCTATTTTAGTAAATAGATACTAAAATAGTATCTATTTTAATATTAGATAGAGGATAGTCTAATGGAAATAGGAGGCAGAAGCAGCAAGTTCTGGGTGAGAGATGTGGCTGTGAGTTTGAAGGGTCATCTAATTATGTGTCTGCCCCAAAGTGTATCCCATGTTTTATTCAATCCTCTCCCCCACTCCCTAGCAATTGTTGGTGACAATTTCACTTCCTACCACAGCCACCTCTTCCCTGCTCATTTTTCTTTCTTTCCTGTCTACCTCGTTTATTATTTTTGTACACTTCACTTTTTTTTTTAACCTTTTTTACTCTCCCTTCTTTGCCAAAGGGTTAGGGCTCTTTTGTGACAGTGGCTTTCCCTGGTTCTCTTGTGACATTCAAGACAAATAGGTTTTTACTCCTGGTCTACAATGTCCAGGGAGCTGGTCAACTTTGTTCCCTTGGGGGGTCTCTGAGAAAGACTTCAGCTGTTTCTCAATGTGTAAAATAGAGGACTACATAAAAACCAAACTTGATTCACTCTCAAAGTGATTGTTAAAAA